TTATTAGTTATTTAATATAACATTATTATTTATTAATTTTAGCTGATATTTAATATTTTTGTTAGCCAGCAATAATTATCATGCAAGACTGGATTTTTTAAACATTTTTCGATACAAAAGAAATTAAAAATCCAGCTTTTCTATTTAATCTGATTTGTGCAAACTACGACTCAACTCTAATTCGTCTCTTTAGCCTCTCTTATTCCCCAAAATCCTTGCCATACTCGTAGGTCGCTAATCAATATTGGATAAATCATAATCACCCGTTATTCACAACCAAAGCAACATTCCAATGCATGAGCACAGTTATAAATTGATGCAAATACAAGTGAGCCGTTGCGCATTGAAATGGTAAGTGTTAATAATACTGTGACAGCCCTAATGGCTCTGCCACTACGAAATATGCACGCGCATAAATTTCCGATCCAATTTTGCAGGCAGCAAAACGGCCTCGTTGCCATTTTTGGAAACCACAGCCGTGTTGGCAGTTGCCCACCTCCCCCCGCCACCATGGCACCGACAGCAAGCGCTCATCATAGATCTGACAGCGACATCAGTTAACGTTGCTATGCGTGCCATATATTTATTTGCAGTCACACACACACACACACACACATACAGCGTGTTGCACATTGCTGCATGCTGTGCATATACATTCATAAGAGTTCTCATCCTTCATCCTTGATGTATGGCCATCACTTCTAAGCTGCTAAGCTGCTCCCACCGAATTGTGTTAATGAAATTCAAGTCCGTGTGGCAGATGCTCCAATGTGCGTGTGTGTGTGTGCCATACAAAAAAGTTTTTAATAAGAACACGGCAAGGAAATGTTATAATCGTTTGTTTCAATCTTCATTCAATGTCCAGACAGAACTGCTTGTCGGTTATCCACGTTACCGAATATGAATAGTACGATAGAATATACCCATTTCTTAAATATTCACATGTCAATTCCAATTGAGCTGCTAGCAAAATAAGCAATAAAATTTAAATATTTTGGTATTCAACTGCAATATTTCCGCTTGGCTTTCTTCAGTGCTTTTCCCTATATTTTGTTAAAGAAATAAAATAATTTTCCTTTCATTCTTTTTCTTTCATATTTATAGAAATTTTAATAATTCATATATCATTTTAAAACATATTTGTAGTAAGGTATTTGTACATATTTTCGATTTCTGACTTCTTTTATCTCGTTCACTTTTGCTATGCTTCCCTCTCTTGATCTTTTCTCCCTTTTTCCTCCCTGATTCCACAAAGCCAAAAGCCATTTATTTTTCTCCTTTATATCTATCTCTCTCTCTCTCTCTCTCCATCTTTCTCTGTCCCTCTAAGGTCCTGTTTGTCTTTTTATTGTATTTTATCTCGTTCACCTGTTCTCATTCTCTTTCTTTCATTCCCCTTATATCGCTCTCCCTTGGTTTTTGTTCACTTTATGCCTCCTTTCCTCGTTCGTTCTAACCTTATTTCTGTATCTCTATCCTGCGCTCTCTCTCTCTCTCTCTGTCTCTCTCTCTCTCTCTTACACCCACATAAACACTCCCGCAATGTCTCTCTCTCACTCTTTTCCTCACATTCATTATATTTATATTTCTATCTGTTTCATACCTACTCTCTTTCCCTCTCTCTCTCTCTCTCTCTCTCTCTCTCTCTCTCTCTGTGCACATATTTCTCCTTCTATTCCTCAGTTCCGTTCGCCTTGTTTTAGTTTCCTTCATCATCTCTCAAATATCACTTCCCAAGCAGAGTTTTCATTTGATAACCGCATTTTCGCTAGTTGTGATGAAATATATGAAAACATTTACAAAAAGCATAATAAACAGCCGAAAAAAGTTGTAAACTCTTAAAATACAGAGAAAGTTGCTTATGCGCATTCCCAAAACCACAAAAATATATCCTAAAAGCACTCGACTATTTCAATGGGTATTTCGGGTTTTCTCACACTCGGCACGCTCTGCTTCTTCCACTTGTACTTTCGATAGCTTGGAGCAGCCAATGACTCGCGAACGTTCCTAGTTGCCATATTTGATTTATTAGCATACTTTAACAAGAAGGAAAGAAAACGCTGCATTTTCCAAAAAATTATGCAACTTAATTTGAGCAAGCCACAAATTTTCGTTGCAATGTACATTGTCACATGGCTGCTCCTGTTGCCGTTGTCGCTGTCGCTGCCTCTGCCTCTGCCTCTGCCTCAGCCGCCGCCTCAGCCTCTCTGCCGTCGGCAAGCCATAAATTTAGGCAAACGCCCAGCTCAGCCTTCTCTTTCCCCCTCACTCTATCTCTTTCTCTGCTCTGACTCTGCTTTCTGTTCGGTGCACTTTGGGGGCTGAGATACGCCCACACAACTTGGACAAAGTTTGTGCTGCTCAGCCACAGGCAGAGGCAACGGCTCCGAGGCGCTAGCGCTCTGCTGGAAGCAGCCGGATGCCAAAAGTCGAGATCAGAAACAAGCTGCTGCTAGGCGAAGCCAAAGTTGCAACAAGCGACCGAGAAG